TTAACCATGAACACTGAACAGTATTTATGAACTGTATAGAACTAGTTTGTTTAACAATGAATTCTGAACAGTATTTATGAACTGTATATAGAACTAATTTCTTTAACAATGAATACTGAACAGTATTTATGAACTGAATTTAGAGCTAATTTGTTTCACCATGAACCCTGAACAGTATTTATGAACTGTATAGAACTAATTTCTTTAACAATGAATACTGAACAGTATTTATGAACTGAATTTAGAGCTAATTTGTTTTACCTTGAACCCTGAACAGTATTTTTGAACTGTATATAGAACTAATTTCTTTAACAATGAACACTGAACAGTATTTATGAACTGTATAGAACTAGAACTAGTTTGTTTAACCATGAATACTGAACAGTATTTATGAACTGTATATAGAACTAGTTTGTTTAACCATGAATACTGAACAGTATTTATTAACTGTATATAGAACTAATTTGTTTAACCATGAACACTGAACAGTATTTATGAACTGTATAGAACTAATTTGTTTAACCATGAACACTGAGCAGTATTTATGAACTGTATATAGAACTAATTTCTTTAACAATGAATACTGAACAGTATTTATGAACTGTATATAGAACTAATTTGTTTAACCATGAATTCTGAACAGTATTTATGAACTGTATAGAACTAATTTGTTTAACCATGAACACTGAACAGTATTTATGAACTGTATATAGAACTAATTTGTTTAACCATGAATACTGAACAGTATTTATTAACTGTATATAGAACTAATTTGTTTAACCATGAACACTGAACAGTATTTATGAACTGTATAATTTGTTTCACCATAAACACTGAACAGTATTTATGAACTGTATATAGAACTAATTTCTTTAACCATGAACCCTGAACAGTATTTTTGAACTGTATATAGAACTAATTTCTTTAACCAAGAACACTGAACAGTATTTATGAACTGTATATAGAACTAATTTCTTTAACCATGAATACTGAACAGTATTTATGAACTGTATATAGAACTAATTTGTTTTACCATGAACACTCAACATAATTTATGAACTGTATATAGAACTAATTTGTTGAACCATGAACACTGAACAGTATTTATGAACTGTATATAGAACTAATTTGTTTAACCATGAATACTGAACAGTATTTATTAACTGTATATAGAACTAATTTGTTTAACCATGAACACTGAACAGTATTTATGAACTGTATATAGAACTAGTTTGTTTAACCATGAATACTGAACAGTATTTATGAACTGTATATAGAACTAGTTTGTTTAACCATGAACCCTGAACAGTATCTTTAAGGGAGACTGTCCGATTCATTAAGGTACAACTCAGTACTCGAACTATTGATGAAGTTATCAGCGTTCACTAGTACCAGCCTGTCTAGTGTACCAGGAGCAAGTTTTCTGGTTAACAGTGCCTTCATTGTATCTGCTGCATTAATCCAATGTCGATCAATTTTCCATTGATGCATCTTTAAACATTTGACAAAGTAGGGATGCCTTTACTGCTTTAAAATAAATATATAATCCTTGAGCAGACAGCAGATTGTATGATACTGTTGTGAATCAGACATGCTGTAAGAAAAGTTTGTGAATTTAGCTTATCTCGGAAATCCAATGTGTTTTTTACCTGCATGCAACTGTGATTAAAAACAAAGAATTTACCTGAATTATAGGGTTCATCTCTGTAAGCATTAAAGTACACAGAGAATTGCTTGGAAACTGCGGAATACATCTCTGATACCTTTATAAATGCATAATTTGAGTACTTGTTTTAAATCATGGTACATTACAGTTTATATAAATAGAATCTTCACATTTTCAATGTTCCAGTAAACAAAAGTGGAGAAATTCTCCGAAAATTTCCGTGAATCATTCTCCAATTCTTCAGAATCATTCTCAAGAAATTCCGAAGAAGATATCGACCGAGTTATAGCTTAAATGTTTTAAAGAACATAAAAAAAACCTTTTTTTCTGAACTAACTAATATTTTGGACAAACTTAAAACAATTGGTTTCCTTACTCATTGGAGGAATTTTAATAAATTCTGAAAAAGCGATAGTTTTTACGAAAAGAACAATATTTTACGAACAACTTGTAAAACAAAAATATCGTTTTTATTACTAAACGAACCGTTTTACAAAGCAAACGATCTCCTTAATTTAACAATTTTATAGAACAAGCGATCTAACTGAAAATGTAAGATAATTCTAAAACCGACTGAAAAAAAACTAATAAAATGGATTGTTAATAAACAATAAACGAACAAATTAAACTAAAGAATACATTTTTGATTTAAATAATACAGAAGTTTAGCTTTTTTTCCAATAATAGTATTTTAACTTGCAATATACACAACAACTGTGTGATTACAATGTTGTAGAAATGTTTGAACTTTCTATAAAACCACCTGACTTTGAATTTGGTAAAGCTAATTTTATGCCGCATTATAATATCAAAGTGTTCACGTTGGACATAGCAATTCTCAATTAAAAATTAAAGAATAACGAAAGAAACAAACTTTTATTTTATTTGAAATGCGTAGCATGATCATTTGCTACAACTTTTTTTGGCGACTCTTTTGGTATTTTAATAAAGATTGATGATAAGATGTCGGACGGAAAAAAGGACAGAAGGACACAATTCAATTGGGTCTTAGAGTTCCATTTTCTTGAAGTCATTAGTAAGTCTACGTGAATTCGTCTGCAATTACAATTAAGCAAAACAAGAAAAACGGAGAGGAGTACATCTATTCAAGGGTGATCCGGCACTGTCTTAAAATGGCACAAAAACAGCAACTCGTAAACATTCTTTCAAAAGCAGCGCCATAAATGGACGAGCAAAGGGAGGCACGAAAAAAATGAAACTGCGAACATGCAGATGGAGAAAGGAGAAAAAAGATGAACATTTGAAATTATTTACTATGCCTCGTACCATTTTCTTATACAAAAATTATAAAAAAAAAAAATTATAAAACATGGTAAAAATTGTCTATCTACACTCAATAGTTAAAATAAAGAAAAAATAGAAAGCAAGATCAGCCCGAGTGATACAAGTGTTCATTATGGTTTATAGGGTTCACCCATTTATCAAGTTTTTAATGATAAAAGTAAATCAACAATAGAAAGATATAGATAACGAAAGATGATGATAATAATAAATCTAAAATCCAAAATATTTGGCCTCAGGTAAAAAAGTGTATATTAAAGTAAACCTGTTGTTTGAGTGTGTCCAACAAAGATCTTCCAATCTGATCATCCTCCTTGTTTTTTTGTAGTTCCTCTTTAAACAAGCTGGATACAGCATCATGTCTTGCCAACCTTTCCCTTTAACACATATTCTCAGTTTATAGGATATTCTCAGTTTATAGGATATTCTCAGTTTATAGGATATTCTCAGTTTATAGGATATTCTCAGTTTATAGGATATTCTCAGTTTATAGGTGGGGATGAATGAATAACAAGAAGCAGGTGCTGCACTAGGCATTAGTTAGTTGTAACCTAAATAAGCTCATATTTGTAATTATGGCTCAGGTGGGGATGAATGAATAACAAGAAGCAGGTGCTGCACTAGGCATTAGTTAGTTGTAACCTAAATAAGCTCATATTTGTAATTATGGCTTAAGATTTAAATTTTTATTTAAATTAATTTTACTCCAAAACGTAGAGTTGTGTAACGTTGTGCGTTCTTCTATAGATATGTTAACTTTGCTCAACATTCAGGGCTGTGCGAAATGAAGTTTTTAAAAAATATCAAAATATTCCGTAGTATTTCTTAGGGCTAGACCAAATTTTCCTAGGACAAAACAAACTGTTCTAGAATAAATAAAAAAATACAAGTAAGAGTGAAATTGTCTTTAATTCCTCTCATTGAAGAGCTTTGAACTAAACTAAAATGGTTAAATTTTCTTAAAAGTAACCAAAAAAAACTTGTTTTTTTTCTCGCTCCAACTTGTCTCAAAAATTGGATCTTCTCATTCTATTGAGAGAACAGCTGTTGTTTAAAACTTAACAAAAGGTCACGTTAATTTAATTTAATTAAGATAAAAATAAACTATCGGACAGTTATAAGGAGCTATTGAGAACTACTAAATTTGGTTTTCTCGCTCGAACTTCGGCGTAAAATCTAACCTAAATAAGCTGCGAGATCACAAAGTCGTTATATTAATGTTCAAAAAACTGTTGATCTTCTGCTTCTGCTTATTTTACAGTGAAGAACGGAACTTGACATTTTTAACTATTAGATAAAAAACAAAGGTTACGTTAATTTACCCAACCGTACAAAATAAAAATTACTAAATTGATAATAATGGTCAGCCCTATCAATAAGTGCATTAAAGAATTTGTTGGTAAAGCTCAATATAGACTTCTATAGAAATCGGTTACAGCTCACAGCTTGTTTGTAATTTTAAGAAATCTATTATATTGAACCAAAAACTTCATCAAAGGAAAGGTATTGGATGGTATCATACAGTTTTTGATATAAAGGTTAAAAAAGACTGAACACAGAAACTTCATGCACAGTTCACATAGATTCAGCTGCCTATGAACTAACTCATTCATTTTTAAGACAGGGTTGACTTTGAAGTATTAAAGAAGTTGAGTTTTTGCCACAAAATCTGATTTTATAATATTTAGTTCTTTGTAACCCAATGCCGTAGACCTTAGATATTTCAAAATAAAATACTTATAAATAAAATAATCTAAGTTTGAAATATCAAAGGTGTGCACCATAAGGTTGCAAAGATATTGGAATCAGAAGATTTTAGTTTGAGGCAAAAACTCAATTCCTTTTACCGTGTCCATATTATGATATTATTTATTATTTACAATTTGTAAAAATTGTAATCATTCATGATGCAAGATTAAAACAAGAAAAATCTAGATTCTGATTCAATTCTAGCCATCGTATTGGTTTTTAGTAACTTTTATGTTACTAGTTGAAGATGAAGCTCATGGACTCTATTTGTCTAAGAGAAAGTTTAATTAGAAGGGTTTAAATGCTTAATAAATTTTGTCTAAATTACCCAACATTTGTGGAAAAGTATTTATTCTGCGGTGTAAAGCCTAGAGTAATTACATCCAAGTTTCTTCAGATTTTAACCCTAAGGAAAGGAAGTTCTGTATTATATCTGTAAACCCTACTTATAAAAAGCTATTATATAGTTTAATAGATTTAATTTTGTCATCATATTCATTTGATGCCTTTCTTAAACTTATTCGACCTTAATCCCTTTTTGCATGCTTTTATTCGACCTTAATCCCTTTTTCCATGCTTTTATTCGACCTTAATCCCTTTTTATGCGATTTTATTCGAAGAAAACATAGTTTGAAATATCAAAGGTAAACGTTATTATTTTGGAAAGATTAAAAATAACAATGTAGATTTTCTAAACGTGTACACTGTTCATATTCCTTTTTCTACAGAACCTTAAAAGGGACTAATATCGTAATTTCAATATTTAATAAGTATAACAGGAGCAAACCTGAGATTCTCAGGTTTCTGTGGGATATCGTCGTTTTCAGATTGGTTTCGTATTTGTGGAATATGATCTGTTTAATACTACAACTTTTATACAAAATTGCATATATATGAATTTTCGTATAAATTGGACACAGTTTTATGTCAATTTCTCGAGACAGGAACATCAGATAGATGTCTTATAAGTTTCGTTCATCGCTTGAGATTCTCAGGTTTCATCCTATACCCACTTTCATTTCTCATTTACAGTCCCTTTGAGGATATCGTTGTACGAATCTCGAGCGTTTCCATATTTGAATCGAGGTTTACTTAAAATTACGCTTACAGTCCCTTTAAAAGGCGTATCTGTTCAAGGCCGGATAGCAAAGTATGCTTGTGTTTATTTACTAGTTCTTCGGCAGTCTAAAAACGTCACAGCAAAGTGTACGGAATCCCTATCGCCCCCTCCTTCTATTCAATATCTCCTTGCTAGAAACCAAGTTTAGAGCTAATATTCCCTTAAGGGAGAGGGTAAGAGAGCCCTTTTACTCTCTCTACTTAATATTGTATAGTAATACTAAAGAAAAAATGTGAAGAGATATTCATCTAGGCAAAGTTTGAAATAAAGGTTTATTTTAACAGAAATGGAACCTCTGAAAGATGACAATAGTTTCAGAGAAAAATATAAATTAAAATTGAAAATGAAGTGTATCGACAAATGAAAATTAAAAGCAATATTACTGTAGAACAGACAGATAATTAGAATTATTTTTTTTCATAAAATATAAGAAGTTAAAGATAAATAGTGTTTTTTGAGTTTTTTTTTCGGCTCGACATGATTCACATTTTCCATTTTTTGATTTATATGTCTTTCAGAATTCGAAAACTTTTGTATGTCAATATTTTGTTCATAATAAACATTTCTTAGTTTTATAAAAATATTAATTTTGGGATCATTTAGTTAATTTGTTTTTATCCTTATTTAATTTTAAAAAATCAACAAACAACAAACATTAAAGATTGTTTTGTTTACTATCATATAATTACTCGAAGTTTGGAGGTTATTAACATAATCATTTTAATGCAGTAGATTTATTTTCTTGTTATTGGAGATCATTTAGAAATATGACCTTATTTATCTAGTATATTATTTCAGAGTTTAGAGGTCACTACTATGATCAACATTATCCAGCAAAGGATCTGAGAAAGGATCTGTCTTTGACATAATGAACTTCAGTTATCCGGGATGAATGAATAACAAGAAGCAGGTGCTGCACTAGGCATTAGTTAGTTGTAACCTAAATAAGCTCATATTTGTAATTATGGCTTAAGATTTAAATTTTTATTTAAATTAATTTTACTCCANTCAATTCCATCTCGGGTTGCAAAGTTATCAAGTATATTTTTATCAGAATTCGGAGATATGTTAATATTATTTGAAGTCGTGGGTACACTAACCTTAAGTTATCCTGTTCTCGTTCTAGAAGGTCTCTGACCTCAGAGGTTCCTCTTGAGAGGTCAATAAAAAGCTTCTCTTTTTCCTAAATATTAATATTTTAAAAATTTTATTTTTCTATACCCCTTTTCTGTTACTTTCCTACCCCTATTCCCCTTACCCCCTTTCTCTCTCTTCCCTTTCTCAGCCCCCCCTTCTCCTCTCTTAAAACTTGATTCACCTAATAAAACGCTCCTCATTTTATGTTTCGACTCAAAGAACATAAATCATAGAAACTTTTTGCTCACCATTAAAGACACTATATGGCTTGATTTCATTAAAATTTCGCTTACAGTCCCTTTAGGTCTAGGTTAAAACCCCCATTTATTTGCAAACTTTATGCGGTATAACAATCGATATTTCAAACTTTGACTAACAGAAGACAAAGCTTAAAATATCCGATTGCAAAGATATAGGGATTACAAAATTAAATTTGTGGCGTTCAAAACGGTCGTTTCAATCGATTTTGGAAACAAACGGTTGACGAAACGAAAAATTATCGTTTTTTATCTTTGTTGAAAACGATTAACAACCCTAATTGTGACTAATAATTTTATTTGTAAAATTCTACGGAGCGAAAAACTAGTTTTCTTGAGAGACTACCTTATAAAGAAGATCTCTTAGGTTTTCACATTCTTTTTTCCTCTCCTCGTTTTCTCTTCTCATTCTCTCGTAGAGTTGAAGAATTTCGTTCTTTTCTTCTTCATTTTGTCGGAGTCTTATTTTACAAAACCCTTTAATATATTTTGAAACACTTGTTACAAATGATTTAGTTTTAGAGGATTTTGGACGCCACAGAAATAATGTAAACTTCTAACATTCTATATTCTGTAAACATTTGCTTATCTTACACTAAAAAAATGCAAAAACGATACAAAACGTTTTTTCTAAAACTACCGTTTTCGATTTAATTTTTTTAAATATTTTTTTCTTAGGGTAAAAAATTAGCAAGTATTTATAATCAACAATTTAAAATTTTTAAACTTGTCAGATTTGGGTGGTCCAAATTTTTTTAAAAAGAATGGTTTATTTTAATAATAAATATTAAATTATGTTTTTAATTTCTGATATTTATTTTTTTATTTTAAAGAGTATTTCCTTATTTCTAGCTCATGTTCTTGTTCTTGTTTCTTTATTCTTTCTTTTTCTTTTTCTTCTTCTTGTTTACTTCGTTCCCTTTTCTTGTCTTCCTCTTGTCTTCTTCTATCCTCTTCCAACTGTTCTTCTAACTCTCTTTTCTTCTCTTCGTTCTTCAGTGCTTCATTTAATAGTTTCTCCTCTAGTGCTTGGCTTTCAGCTAAACAGATTTAAAATAAATCCTTAAATATTAAACAATCAAGCATGTATCTTTATATCTACTATTCTTGTCTGGGTGGGTGTCTGTTTGCCTTTAGATGATTTCATCAGAAATAAAAATAAAAACTGTTATGATGGATTTGAAAAAACACAAATAATACATATGATGACTTAATTCAGAGGTAGAAAGAAAGAAAAAACGATTTAAAATCATCCACAAAATTTACTGAACCAGATATACATACAAAAATTACTGAACCAGATAAACATACAAAATTGTTGAACCAGATATACATACAAAAATTACTGAACTAGATATACATACAAAATTTACTGAACCAGATATACATACATAAATTACTGAACCAGATATACATAAAAAATTACTGAACTAGATATACATACAAAATTTACTGAACCGGATATACATACAAAATTTACTGAACCAGATATACATACAAAAATTACTGAACTAGATATACATACAAAAATTACTGAACCGGATAAACATACAAAAATTACTGAACCAGATATACATACATAAATTACTGAACCAGATATACATACAAAATTTACTGAACCAGATATACATACAAAATTTACTTAACCAGATATACATACAAAATTACTGAACCAGATATACATACAAAATTAATGAACCAGATATACATACAAAAATTACTGAACCAGATATACATACAAAATTTACTGAACCAGATATAAATACAAAATTTAATGAACAAGATATACATAAAAAAATTACTGAACCGAATAACATACAAAAATTACTGAACCGGATATACATACAAAATTTACTGAACCAGATATACATACAAAAATTACTGAACCAGATATACATACAAAAATTACTGAACCAGATATACATACAAAATTTTTCTTGTTTTTAAGTTTAAAACGGATAATGGCAAAGCTAAGAACGCCAGTTAAAGGAAATGAGTTTTTGCCTCAAACTCAAATGTTCTATTCCCTATAGCTATGCAATCAGTTTGATATCTTAATCAAAGACTATTGGATCCATCAGAAGTTTGAAATATAAAAGGTCTTTGACATCGGGTTGCAAAGATATAAAGAAAAAAACCTGTTATTGTTTACAGCAAAAAAAAACTTTAAAAACTAAACCTGACATAAATTTCCTATGTATTAGTGTTTAGAAAGGTATTAACTGCGCAAACGATCTGAATTGATTTCAGGAAAAAATTTTTTTTACATTTTCAGCATAAATATGCACTTAGTTATAATTTATACCATCATGGAATTGAACAGAATTTGACAGTAAATTTCAGTACATGATTACATGCTTTTTTGTGCAAGTTCCTAAAATTTTAGTCCATGATTACATGCTTTTTTGTTGCAAGTTCCTAATGTATTTTTATTCCTTTATTACTATTTATATTTTCGTGCCCATCTTCTTTTTAAATTTTTGATTATTTTCTCTTTGTAAAATAAAAACAATATAAAAAAATTTAAAGGATTATTGTTTTTTTTCGTGGATTTTCAAAATTTTACTAAATCATAAATTTTAGGAAATTGTGAGCATTTATAAAACTGTCTTTGGGGTTATGTAAGTTGCCTCCAATTTTTTTAGTCTGGTCGGTTCAGCCGTTTTTACGTATATTGGATAAAAACTAACAGACACCCGAGCAATCAAAAATGAATATACACATAGATTGCTCTTGAATCTTGATAAAAGTTAAATTGAGGCCGAATTTAAAGAATTTGAGCCGCGGCTTAAACCATATTTGAGCCGCACGGGACTCAAATTTTTTGGCGGATTTTAGACGCGGCTCTAATTCATGAAATTCGGACTCTGGAATCCTGATTTTATTTGATTAAATGCATTTCGGGACATTTCAATATTTGATTTAATTCTATTCGTGGATAAAAAAAAATCATCTAATTTAAAATTTAAACATTTGCACAAAATTTCAATAAGTTTAGAAAGTATTTTCACAGAGTCTTTTTATCTCATTACCCAATTTTTTCAATATTGAAGGCACTCGCTTGTGGCTCAATTTTAAGGGAGAAATCTATTTTTGGGTGGGTCGATTTTTACCTTTTTTATGATAGGTATAATAAAAGACAAAACACCATTGTGAATTTTCCTCGACACTCTCTAATTTTAAAACTTTTTTTGCGCCTGTTTAAAAACTCACCTTTAAGTTTAGCCTCTAATTCTAGTTTTTCATTTTCCAATTTCTCGAGGAGAGCTGAATTTTGATTTCTTAAATCAGTTTCATCGTTCAACATTTTTCCGCGCAAACCCTCAGTTTCGCTGGATATTTGTGCTCTAAACATGGATATTTGTGCTCTTTACATGGATTTATGTGCTCTAAACATGGATATTTGTGCTCCAAACATGGATATTTGAGCTCTAAACATTGATAATTGTGCTCTAAACATGGATATTTGAGCTCTAAACATAGATATTTGAGCTCTAAACATAGATATTTGAGCTCTAAACATAAAAAGTACTAGAGTTTAAAATAATGTTTATCTCGATATCTATGGGGATTAAATCTCAGGATACCTTATAATTAAATTATAATTAGGGTTTCCATTCGCAAAACTTTTGCGCAATTTTTGCGGCACGAGATGCAAAATTTTTCTTTCTTTGAGCATCAGTTTTGTGCGAAAAAAACAACAATTTGCGCAATCATTCGCAAAAATCATTTCGCGCAAAATTGCCCTATTCCGCTTTTGCGAAACTCAAGTTTTGCGCAATTCCGCAACTAGAGTTTTGCGCAATTCCGCAATTTCGTAAAAATCAAACGGTTGGTGACGATGTGTGTTTCTTAGAATTCAATTCTGAAAAAATCTTGTTTTGGAATGTCTTCCTATTGGTCACTTTTACATAATTGACCAATGACAGGTAAGAAGAGTTTAAATCTCACGGGCGCGCACCTTATTCACTTAAAATTATTATTAGGATTAAAATATTGCCAAGTTTCACACTCTCTAATTTCTATTTCATTAATTTTGGTCCCTTAATTTAAACTTTTTGTAACTGGAAGTAACCAATTGAGTGTAGTATAATCGTTATCATACTCGTATGTTAATATTTTTTATATGTATGGAATAAATCTTCAGTTGTTTAATTCTAAGCTTAGAATATCAATTTTTGACCCTTTGCCTGAAAAGTTACATTTTGCGTAAAACTTGCGGTTTTGCGCAAATTGCACAAAAACAAATTGCGCAAAACTAAAATATCGTTTTCTGCGCAACTTTCGCAAAAAATATTTCCGGTTTTGCGCAAATTGCGAAAAAAAATAGCGCAAAAACACGCAAAACTCATTGCGTTTCATGAGCAAAAATGGCGCAAAAGTTCGCAAAAAAAAATTTGCGCAAAAGATTTAGCCATTTCGTGGAAACCCTAATTATAATATTATCTCTGAAGTAGGTTCCAATCTTGGGACAAAAGGATGAAATCCTTTGGACAACAAGATAATATTATAATCGATTCTGGAACACAGCTCAAAAGTTTTCACTTCTGGTTTTAGTAATTCTCTTTTTTCTTGCAAGTGAAGGATTTTTACAATTTTTTTTTCACATTTTCTAACAAAAAAAAAGATCTAAATTAGTTAAATAGTTGGATAGGGATAACCAATTTTATTTTTAAAGGGCAATTTTTTACAAATTTAAAAAAAAAATTTGGTTTTAAGACATTTATTGGCATTTTGTTTTGGTTGATACCGAAGAGGTAAGTTTATTATTTCTTTATTGTTTTTTTTTTACTAAAGATCATATTTTTTTCTGATGTTTTTTTTTAATTCCAAACAATCAAATTATTTAAATTTACTCTAAAACACAGGATTGATTAGAACTAAACAGTTAAAATATAAATGTATTTGGTTATTTCTTTCCAAAGTTTCGAGCTGTAAAAACTAATTGATAGAAATCTTTGCACACAAAATATTGTCAAAACTAAATTGAGTTTAAATTAAACGCACTGACAGAAAATTTGCAATTCCTTTCAATAAACTTGCAGATAAATATAAATATAAATATAATAAATATAATATATAATAAATTATGCATGAATTTGCATCGTCAAAATTAGTCTTTTCAAGAATTTGCAGAGACCCCTTCGTATACTAAATGTTGTTGGTCTTACTGTTGTTAGTTAGTTTGATATACTTTGTTCATATATATTTTTTTAATTTTGCTTGAACTGTGTTTTTTTAAACCGTTTTTTATCAGATTGTTGAAAAAGAATCTTAGGGTTCGCACATAAAGCAAATGGTGTAACATGTAAAGTAAGATATCATTTTTATTTCAAATATTTTAGGTTCTTTGAACGTACAAAATTTTTGAGAACAAACGAAACTTTTTGTAAAAAAGGGTGTTGTTAGGATGGACAAACGAAATCGATCGTTCAGGGGAATGAAAATTATCATTTAATAAAAAGGAACGAAAAACCAACGAACGCTTTAAAATAATTTGAACAAACATGAAAAAAAACAATCATTTTTTTACCAAAAGATTTGGGAAAAAACTATTGATTTTTACTGAGTTGGATCAAACTTTTTAAAAACGATAATTTTTACTAAACAAACGATTTTTCTTAAAACACAAAAATTTTTTACTGTTTGAATGTTTTTATTGAAAAATTCTACTGAACAAACGATATTACTGAACAATCGTTCAGTGAGAAAGCAAACGAAATAGATGGAAAATGAACAATAGTTTTGAGAACGAACAAAATAAATTATTTTTTGAACGATTGAAAAAAAACTTAATGCGTCGTTTACAAACAATGAATAAACGAAATGAAAAAAAATCGAACTTCCCCATCTCTAGTTCTTTGATTGATATGCTTTGACATCTGTTCCTTGCCTACCTGAGCTCTAGGTTTACAGCATCCATCCTTCTTTGAAGTTCATCTTGCTCTTGTAATATTTTCTTCTGAAGCTCTTCCCGTTCCTTCTCAACATTTTCGCGGATTTTTCTAGATTCTTCTTTTCTCATCTGTTCAGCTTCAGCCAGACTATCCCTATATTGAAAATAGAATACATAATAATAAAACAGCGTTACATTTTTTAAAGAAAAGTCAAGATTATCTAAGTCGGAAATTTTGTGTGAAGTATCGTTAATATTGAACTTTGATATCTAATGTGGGCACTTTTAATTAAAAATCTGTTAGAATAGGATTTTTAAAAATCAGAATGAATTAAATAATTACAAAAGTTTCATTGGATTTGAATTCACAGAACAACAAAAAATACCTGATTGCTCTATTTTCATTTATTATTTTATCTTGAAGATTGGTGGTTGCTTCCTCCATACTTCTTTTAATAGACTCTTTGTCCTCAGCTAATAAACACAAAGAAGTTAACAAACATTTTTATAAAAAAAATCTGGTTCATTACAGATACAAATTGAGCTTTACCTAAATAGTCTCTAAGCTCCTGTTTCTCTCTCTCTAACCTTTCTTTTATTCTCTCTGCTTCCTGCATTCGTTTTTCATTTTCTATTTCAAGCATTCTTCGGAGTTCATCGCTTTCACGCTTTCTTGCTTCCAGTTCCTTTTTCACCTTCTCAAACATTTCAATAAGGTCATTTCTTCCCTTTTCTTTGGAATTTTCAAGTTTTTCTTGTAATTCTCTTTCTTTCTCTGCTTGCTTTGCTGCTTCTTGAGCTAGTTTTTCCTCAAGACTTGCTTGATCCTGTTTAAACTTTGCTTCAAGCCTTGCTTTTTCCTCTTCCAGTGCATTTTTCATCTGCTCGCTGGACTCTGTTCTCTCCTTGTTCTCATTCTCCATCTTCTCCTTGAGTAGATTTGCCTCCTCTTCCATTTTTCTTCTCAACTCTTCCTTCTCTCGAGCAATGTTCTCCTTAATCTCATTGGAGTCTTTCTCCATATACTCCTTCAACTCCTGTTTATCCTGCTCTATTCTCATCTTAATCTCTTCAGCCTCCTGTTTTCTTGCATCGTTTTCAGTTTGGATTTTCTCAAAGATATCTTTTCCTTGATTTTCTAGAGAAGTTTTCAACATGTTGGATTCATCTTCTATTTTGTTAAGCAGACCCCTGGTTTCATCTTCTAACTTTTTCCGTGCTTCCTCATTTTCGTCTCGTCTCGTCTCATTCTCGGTGTTTAGTTTATCGCGCATTTCTTCTGTCTCAGTCTGAATTATTTCTCGCATTTCTGTATTCTGTGCATCCAATTGTTCCATCAGCTGATTGTTACTAGTTTGCAGTTTGTCCGCCAGTGCACTTAGTTCCACGTGGATGTTTGCTTTTGTATGTTCTATTCCCTGATTCAACTGACTGGTTTCATGGTCAACCTTGGTTTCCAGGTTCTCTAAACCAGCCTCAAGGTGGCTCAGCCCTGGCAGTATTCTAGATTCAATTTGTGCTTCCAACTTGGACCTGAATCACAGATCTCTTGAGAATATTTTAAAAAACACTGTGTGTCTTTAATTAGGGCTGGGCACGTTCTCACTTGTAGCCGTTTTGTTAACGGTTAGTTCCAACTAGGGTTTCCACCGGAATTCCGGGTTACGGTTTACGTACGGAAATGATATCCGGAAATTTTTTCCATTTCCATTATGGAAAAGGTTCGGGAAAACCGGAATTCCGGAACGATTTTTTTTTTCGTAAAACGGAAATTTCCGGAATGTTGTTCCGGAATTACGGATTGTTACGGAATATCGTTCCGGAAATTTTCCGGAAAATCGTTCCGGAAATTTCTGGTTTTCGGAACATTTGGTACCAGAATTACATTAAAGTCTTACATATGTAAATACAACACCAGTTAGTAACACTAACAATATATGAATGGATGCCAGACGGTAGAAAAAATTATACTCAATAATCAATATTCAACCGGAAACCGGAAATTTTTCCGGTTTACGAAATGGAAACTGGAAATTTTACGGTTTCCATTCCGTAAAACGGAAATTTTTCCGGTTTACGTGACGTAAACCGGAAATTTTCCGGTTTACGTTACGTAAACCGTAAAAATTTCCGGTTTAATGAATGGAAACCGGAAATTTTTCCAGTTTACGAAATGGAAACCGGAAATTTTTACGGTTTCCATTCCGTAAAACGGAAATTTTTCCGGTTTACGTGACGTAAACCGGAAAATTTCCGGTTTCCATTTATACCGGAATTATCCCGGAATTCCGGTTTACGCAACAAATTTCCGGATCATTCCATTTCCAAAATGGAAATTTTTTCCGGAAAAATGGAAACCCTAGTTCCAACCATTAAACAAGAAATAGTTTAGGTTAGCGTTAGTTTTAAAGGAATGTTTGTTTTGCTAACGGTATTTTCCGTTATTTTAAAAAGTTGCAGTTAGTTAAGGATCTCAATTTTATTAACAGCATTATCGGAAGATATGTTGCCGGTTTTTTGCAAGAAACGACATTAGCTGTTCAAAAATTTCCTAAGTTTACCTCAAAAAATACGATATTTAAAAACATGAAAATACGTAAAATGTACATGCAATTTTAGCAGGAAAAAAGAACAAAAGTTGCCGTTTTTTAAAAAACCCTCAGTTTCGTTTTCATTTTCAACTGTTTTTTTTTCAAAAACGGCTAATCCGTTTTGTCAATGATTTAAAAATTAACAGCTTTTGCCGTTCGTTATCGGACTCTTCCGTTATTTTTCGAAAACCTCCGTTTCGTTAACGAAACTTTGCCCAGCCTTACCTTTAATAAGGGGAGTTTTGATTTTGATCTTATTTGCAATTAACTCTAGCTTAACATAAAACTTTTTATTATTAAATAGCATTGTATGGAACCTTTCTATCCTTTTTGCAGAATAAAAAAGATATTGCTGAAGTTTATACATGTCATGAGGTACAATAAAAGTTGAAAAAGAAATTTAACTTTAAATGGTTTCAACAATCATTTTTAGATATCATGTTATATGTAAAAGAGGAAAATGAAAGAAAATAAAAAAAGATATTTAATTGTTAAAGTTAAAAGTGTTAGGAAGGATGTTCAGTAAGTTCAAGAGTAAACAACCACACCAACCTTGCTAAACAATCTTGGGTACAGTAAAAGGAATTAGTTACATGCAAACATAAGTTGTGAAATTAATCTATTGCGTTTAAAAAAGAAATAAATATTAAATGATTGCATGTCTCTCTTCAAACACTTTTTTAATATTTTACAAGTTGGAGAAAAATAAATAGTTAGCAGAAAAACTCCTTTTGATGAATAATATGCATTAAATGCAAGTTTAAAGGTATCTAGATACTTCAAAAGGAAAATTAAAATCTGCATTAAGCAAGGGTACAGTTACAAATAAATTCCAAGAAATAAATCAATCAATCAATCAGGATAATCTGAAATATTTCTCAAAGATTCCTATTTGTATTTTGTTCTGCTAGGATGAGTTTGATTCCCTCTAGTTCGGTTAAATTCCCATCCTCTTGGGCATTCAGCTTCCCTTCAACCTCCTCCTTATCCTACAATGGTAAGCGTTTATATCAATACAACGAGGACAACTTTACTTTAAGTTTGATTTCCTAACATGCTTTTTTCGAGTATTAAGGTTTACAAGGAAACAAAGAGAATCTGTTGATTGACAGATTCTCTCTGTTTCCATGTTAATGTGCACTGTACATCCATGCCGTTCGAAAGCTTGGAAGAACTCAAGTATTGAAATCAAAAGTCGTCTTTATTGTTTCAATGTATACGACGAGGACTGTAGAGTGTAGAATGTGTATTATGATATTGCAACTTCCACCTGGAATTTTTAAAAGTTTGCGAATTTAGTTTAAAGGGACTGACCACCTCATTTCAAATAATCCTCACACACTAGTATGCCGATTCCATTAACGCCTCATCCAATCAGGGTTCAGTCATGTGCTTGTTGTCATTCTGAACCAATAGAAATGGTATGGCGGTAACATCTATCTTTATTTCTATCTCATTATCCAATCAGAGTTATGAATCCTTTAATCGGCGCTATCAGTAAATGGAAATATTTACATCTACTGAATCTATTGTGCTTCGTTTAAAAAGTCATTTGCCTGATTTATACTGGTAGTTGGTACCCTATAAACCTTAGAACAAAACAAATGAAATGAAATAATCCATATATTTCCAACCCCAGCATGGCGTAAACTCAAAATAATTGGATTAATATATCGAACAGCATGCATGGTTTGAAAAATCAATGGGTCTAAAGAACATTGGGTTCCAAAGCTATAGGGATTGAAAAATCATAGTTTGTGGCAAAGATCTTTTACAAAGATAAAAATATTTTTATCTGAAAATTGATAATTTTCAATTGTGGTTTATTTATTTCAGCAACTAGCGGAACTATGCAGCAGGGACAAAAAAAGGAAATTGACGTAATTCCTATAAACGTTTTAAATATTAAAAAAATACCATTTTTTCCTCCTTGTGCCTGAGATAAAGTTATAAAGGGTAAAGATGTGAATCAATGATGCAACTATTTAATATTGCTACATAGTAGTGGACAGCCCCTTTAACATTTAACAACTAAAAATATTCCAAATATTTCTCTCCTGAATTCCAGAATAATGTTAACTATTTCAAATTATCGATACTGTGTTGAGAATGAATTTGAATCCAGGTGACAGAATTTAGATTGGATGACATGAACTGAATGATGGATAAATGAATGTAAAAAGAGTACATGGATGAGTCGACAACAAACATGGTTGAAGGACTTGGTAAAAGTGTATGAATTGGATGACAACTGTTCATGTTTGAGGGACTTAAACTGGATGAAAACAGTACATAGTTGAGGGATATAAAGTGGATGACAATAGTATATAGTTGAGGGATATAAACTGGATGACAACAGTACATAGTTGAGGGATATAAACTGGATGACAACAGTGCATGGTTGAGGGATATAAACTGGATGACAACAGTACATGGTTGAGGGATGTAAACTGTATGACAACAGTATATAGTTGAGGGATATAAACTGCATATTTGAGGGATCTGAGTGGGGGATGACAACGCAATTGGATATGGTAAGTGTATATTAGATGACAATATGAATGGGATGAGAGCAGGGAATGGTTAGTGGTTATAAATGGGATGACAAAGGAGCATGGTTAGTGGTTATAAATAGGATGAAAAAGGAGCATGGTTAGTGGGTATGAATGGGATGACAAAGAGCATGGCTAGTGGGTATGAATGGGATGACAAAAGGAGCATGGTAAAAATGAATGAATGACAATGAACGAACATGGTTAAATAATTTGGAATGAGAGCAGGGCATGGTTAAAGGGCTCGAACAAGATGACAACAAAACTGTTGGGAGAGATGAAATAGGATTGAATATTGGCATAAAAAAAAATTTAAAAAAAAATACGAGAAAAGGAAGAAATGACGTATAAATGTAAATGAAAAAAGTTATTACAACAATTTTACCTGCTCCCTCTCCTTTTTTTCTTCTATAATTGCATTGTTCAACTTTTCCGTTTCTTTCAAATTTAATATTTTTAATTTTTTTTAATAAAGTGGTTTCCTAACGCAATAGTATTTGCTCTTTTGTAAGGGATTTTAAGTTTACGTGTGTTCACATTTTACAAAAAAATATTTTTTAATATTTATATGTCATTTTTTTCGTAATTAAAATTGATGCATTTAAATTTGTTGCCTTGCTGCATTTTGTTTTTATAATCATCCATGTCGTCTTCATTTTCTCTAATCTTCTCCCATAGTTTCTCCTTTTCTCCCGTTATTCTTTCGTCTATATTCCTACAAACCTACAAAAACATATTTGTTTGTGTTTACTGAAAAACGTTAAAACAGCTGAAGCGGTTAGACCCAGGGGGGATGATAGTTCTCTACCTGTGTGCTAAGTGAGCTGTACTGTACACTTAGAACTGTTTACTACTATTGATATACTATAGGTTAGGCCATAATCAACTAATAATAAACAAATAAGCAGTACGATCTCGGCATAGTTTATAACCTATACAATTAGTACAGGATTAGCGTATACATCATCACTCAATACACTATAACCTCGTTGGTTAGACCCCATAATTGAGACCTCAAAGACCCCAGGCAGATTTATGAATATAATATGGTCATAAACTGAACCTTTCAACATTTCTTTTTTTTACCAAATTGTGGAATTATATATAAGTGTGAAAACTAAAAAATGAACTGCAAAAATTTTATTTTAAACGTTATACTAACGAGATTTCTTCAATTAAATTGATTTACACCGAACCTCATAAAGGCCTTGTCCAGATCAAGTACGCAATCATACAGTCATGACCAGAAAACTCCGAAATAGGAAGACGACTTTGTAGCAATACTTTTGTGTTTTTAATGTTGTAAGAAAGCAAATAATTCTACTAGACACTTATTAAATCACAAATCAAGTCTTTTTAAACGGACCAACTTCTGTTTCCGTGCTTATTTGACAAACTATGTAAAGTCATAATTTGAGTTTAAAAGTCGTCTTTCTATTCCAGAGTTTTCTTGTTATCACTGCAGATGTTGTTATATTGTGAGTTTACTGTAAAGAAATTTTTGCATTTCTAAATTTTCAGAATTGAACTGCTTTACTGCAGCTTGAATAATGACGATGTTGGTATCTGCCTTATTATTAATTACAGGGTGTCCCAATAATCATGGGAATTCAGTGACGAATTCGATATCGTCTTTTTAAATAATTTTTTGATTTAGTATAGTGATACCTACTGAGAAAGCTGTAATCTGTAAGAGTTTCGTCTGTTTGGTTCACATTTTGTTTGTTTATGTTTTGACTGCATACGGTTACTTAGTAATACAAGAAAATTACAGTATACAAACAGAGTAATCTTGTCCGTCTTCACTGTTCATCTTGCGGAGACATTAAAGACACATCTTTACAGTCTTTTACCCTTTTCATAAAATAAATTCTAGCAGACATAAAAATATTATGGCTTTTGAAATTAGTATTATAATGCTATGACATAACAAAGACGATATCCAATTCGTCACTGAATTCCCATGTTTTTTAGGACACCCTGGAGATAAAGAGCTGGTACTGTCATTGCAAAAACTTAAAAAATATGTCTGTCCTTAGAGCTATTGTTATGTTATGTAGAAAACCAAAAGATTGTGTTGAGTTTTAAAGTTTACAGTTTGTGTTTAAGATTTATAGTTCAAGTTTTCAGCCGCCATAGCAACAAACCCATCACACCAATATGTTGCAATAATTTATGATAAAATAATATACTTTGATAAAAAAGGTTCAGGACCTCATACTTTCAAGGATTTTAAAGAACTGTCTTTGTATTTTAAAATGACATTCTCTCTAAATAGGGGCTTTCCATATTCAACGTTAGCCTGAAAACCTTCACCAGTATTAATGTGGAAGATATGGTCGTTTGTCTAGCTGAAATGGTACAACGGTACAGCGGTACCTTTGAAACCTTAATCTGATCAAAAATGTGAAAGATTACAACGCCTTTTTTCTCCTTTAATTAAGAAATGCGCAAGTCACTTTTCTTGAGAAACCGCAGATGTAAATAAACAGTTTAATTAAACAAAGTCATGCTTATCAATTTAAACTTGATAAGATTAAGCTTTAAAAGGAAACCATCTTTGCATTAGGCTTCCATGTACATCTAAAAGATTTAGTTCTAACAATTTTCTAAATGTTTATGAAGCAGAATTATGCAATTGTCGTCAGATTGACTAGAAAAAGATGGAATACAAATGCTACGGTATACCTGTTCAAAATCTTTATAAATCTCTTCTTTCTCCTTTTTTCTCTCCTGTTCCTCCTTCTGTATCCTGTTTTCCAGTTCTCCTTTAATCCTCTCCTGTTCCTCCAACAGATCCTTCCCTTGCTCAACCATCTCACGTTCCAAACCCAGCCTAAACATATCAGAATACAGTATCCAAACCCAACCTTAAACATATCAGAATACAGTATCCAAACCCAACCTGAACATATCAGAATAAAGTATTCAAACCCAACAAATAAGGGTTCAGAAAAAACTTTTAAAAAGTTGTATTTATTCTATATAACCCTGCAGCCTTAGAGACTTTAGGAACTTTTAGTAAAATTTCGCAGGGAAGGTTTGATTGTAAATGCATTGAATAATTTTCAATATTTTGCAAAATTGAGTAAATTTTCTTGGAAAACAGTCTTTTGTCCATAGGAAACCAATATAATATCTTTATAATTCCAATTATAATTTTTCAATAAATTACAAATTCTGAAATTAATAACTTTTAATTAACATCTGACCAATAGAAGATCAAAGTCAATTTGATTAAAGATCCAATGTAGCACACTGAACCAAGGATAATTTTGATTTTAATTGAATATCCCAATTAGCACACTGAACCAAGGCTAATTTTGATTTTAATTGAATATCCAATGTAGCACACTGAACCAAGGATAGTTTTTATTTTGATTGAAGATCCCATGTAGCACACTGAACCAAGGATAATTTTTATTTTGATTGAAGATCCCATGTAGCACACTGAACCAAGGATAATTTTGATTTTAATTGAATATCCCATGTAGCACACTGAACCAAGGATAATTTTGATTTTAATTGAATATCCCATGTAGCACACTGACCCAAGGATAATTTTGATTTTAATTGAATATTACATGAAGCACACTGAACCAAAGTTAATTTTGATTTTAATTGAATATCCCATGTTATAGCACACTAAACAAAAGTTAATTTTGATTTTAATCGAATATCCCATGTTATAGCACACTAAACAAAAGTTAATTTTGATTTTAATTGAATATCCCATGTTATAGCACACTAAACAAAAGTTAATTTTGATTTTAATCGAATATCCCATGTTATAGCGCACTAAACAAAAGTTAATTTTGCTTTTAATTGAATATCCCATGTTATAGCGCACTAAACAAAAGTTAATTTTGATTTTAATTGAATATCCCATGTTATAGCGCACTAAACAAAAGTTAATTTTTATTTTAATTGAATATCCCATGAAATAGCACACTAAACAAAAGTTAATTTTTATTTTAATTGAATATCCCATGTTATAGCACACTAAACAAAAGTTAATTTTGATTTTAATTGAATATTCCATGTAGCAAACTGAACTAAAGATAATTTTTATTTTTATTGTAGATCCTGCATGAGGCCCACACCAAACCAACGATCATATTAATTTCGCCGGAGATAAATTAAATGTTTTTATGACTACTGCGCTTTTAGAGTGCTTCACGCCCCTTTTCCTATTAACAATTTTAATTGTTGCAATGCAATTTGCCATAGTTTTAGTAAAATATAGAGATTGTTTTTGGTATTTAAAAAAAAAACGTTCGCTCCAACGCTGCTTAATAAATACAAAGAAAACTACAATCTTTGTTCTTTTTTGTAAAATGTTTAAACAAAAAATTCATTTTTTAAAGTTGGAGAATGGAAAATTTTAACAAGGATCATCTGTTTACTATCTATCTAATAAATAATGATTTCTTGGCCAACTTTCCTTGGCTCATATTTTCGAAATTTGGTCTCTCAGAATAAACCTTTTTCTTTTTCTTTGGTTTTGAGATCATAACTTTTGAATTGTTCAGCTTTTCAGAAAAAGTTTAATCAATGTTTTTTAAAGAATTTTCAAAAAATGAAAGTTTAAATCTGGTTAAAACTGGATTTATTTTCTGTAGAAGTTAAATAAGATATTTTTATATTNGGGGGGGGGGTTAATATTAAGAAGTACTCTCATACTTTATAGCACTTGACTTCCCGAGCCGTCCTGCCCTGCCCAGATGTATTCTTATTTGTTTTTACCAAGGAGAATAAAATAGAATAAGAAATATTTGTCTAATGTACAATTACTCCGTATACAATGACCTATTCTGAACATTTCTTGTACAAATGTAGTATACCGTCTGCAAACCATGTATAATCATAGGGCAGGGCGGGCCGCGTCAGTTGTATCTTCCCTCTATTCCATACTCCGTGGTTTTTACCCTATGCGTCTTAAAGTGTCCCTTATCCCCTTAAATCTGTATCTCCTTTTGTAATCAGGAATCCAATCAGGATCTCCTGAAATCCATAGATTTCAGTGGTGCAGCCCCCAACCCTTCCTACGCCTCTGGTATATAAGTAAATTTGTAATAACTAATAAGTATATATCTATATTTTGCATGTCTGTTGGTTTCCAACATCCAAACCACAGATTCACATTATTATCTCTAAATATTGGATTGTTCTATTTGACAACCCAACACAGACAGATATAGATTCAATATTCACCTCATCTTATCTCGTTCTTCTGATTCTAACTCCAGACCTTGGCTCAGTCCCTCAATATCCTAAAAAATCAAAAAATTAATTTTCTTAACTAATTTATAAAAAATTATGCTAAAAATCAAGTGTTTAGAGTTTTATAACGTATGGCTGAAAAAGTATAAATGAGTTAGTTAGGTAAAAGCAAACGCCTATGAGTTGCGACACTTCAGAGTCGACCCAGTCTAAAAAAAAATGATGCAGCTTGGATCTTTGTAAAATCGCGATAGTTAAAGGGAGTGACCGGCAATGTGACACTTTTCTGAACACTACACTAAAAACTGGGATTTGAAAAGTTAAAATCCTGAAATAAATAATGAGAGAATTCAGGAATTTAATTTCCTGTTTGATTTTCCTGCCGTCAATAAACTAAATTTTCATTAAATATATATTCATCTGTAACTAGATAAATATTCATCTATAACAAGATAAATATTCATCTATAACTAGATAAATAATCATCTATAACTAGATAATTTTCATCTGTAACTAGATAAATATTCATCTATAACAAGATAAATATTCATCTGTAACTAGATAAATATTCATCTATAGCTAGATTCATCAATAAAAAGATAAATATCCATCTATAACTAGATAAATATTCATCTATAACTAGATAAATATTCATCTATAACTAGATAATTTTCGTCTATAACAAGATAAATATTCATCTATAAATAGATAAATATTCATCTATAACTAGATAGATAAATTTTCATCTATAACTAGATAATATTCATCTATAACAAGATAAATATCCATCTATAATTAGCTAAATATTCATCCATAATTAGCTAAATATTCATCTATAACAAGCTAAATATTCATCTATAATTAGCTAAACATTAATCAATAACAAGATAAATATTCATTCATAACTAGCTAAATATTCTTCAATAACAAGATAAATATTAGTCTATAACTAGCTAAATATCCATCTATAAATAGTTACATATTCATCTATATTTAGCTAAATATCCATCTATAAATAGATATATATTCATCTATAACTAGCTAAATATCCATCTATACCTAGCAAAGTATTCATCTATAACTAGCTATATATTAATCTATAACATATATAAAATGAGTATCTATAACTAGCCAACTATTCATCTATAACTAGCTAAATATCCAACTATAAATAGCTAAATATCCATCTATAAATAGCTACATATTCATCTATAACTAGCTAAATATCCATCTATAACTAGCTAAATTACCATCTATAAATAGATAAATATCCATCTATAACTAGATAAATAATCATCTTTAACTAGCTAAATATCCATTTATAAATAGCTACATATTCATCTATAACTAGCTAAATATTCATCTATAACTAGCTAAATATCCATCTATAAATAGCTAAATATCAATCTATAACTAGCTAAATATCCATCTATAGCTAGCTAAATATCCATCTATAACTAACTAAATATTCATCTATAACAAGATAAATATCCATCTATGCCTAGCTAAATCCATCTATAACTAGCTAAATATCCAGCTACTGTAGGTATATACAGTACACACGAATCTCGGTATTTGTACAGTCTAGGAGAGTACATTTGTTTATTGTTAATTGTTTACTTAAAAATAAGTTTAATATACATTTAGTATATTATTTATATATATAAGTCAACACTATAAGCCAAATCTTCATGCAAAGAATATAATTTGATTAAATTTTACAATAAACTAGTCTTTATTCAAGCTTAATTATAATTGACAACGATGTTCTGCAACTTCCTTGACTGTAGTCATGGTGTGTGTCTGTACAAAAAGAGTATGTGTAAGGTTTACCGAACTCGTCTGCAAAACAGTGCGACTGGCTTTCTCATGACAGACCGGCGCAATTTCCATTCCTTTTATTCCTATTCCCTGCATGCATAAATTCAAGTGACCCTCTAAATTTTACATGTCATGTTTTATTTGTAACTAGATATCCTTTAAACCCCTGTTTAAACAAGCAAATATAAAATATAGATATTGTTTTTAAATAATAAATAATTTTGTTTAAAATGTGTTTCATATTTTTTATTTTTTTTTATTTCTGATCTCTTTTGTTTTTTTAACATTTCACTACATTGGATCATAGATAAAAGGACACTCTTCTCTTTATTAGATATTTTCTAAATTAGAGTTTTATTTTTCTTTTCTTTTTAGTTTTCAGAGAAACTTGAATTCTGGTAAAATTGTTAAAATATACAACTAAAAATATGGAATTAAGATAGAATATACAACAGAAACTTGAATTCTGGTAAAATTGTTAAAATATACAACTAAAAATATGGAATTAAGATAGAATATACAACAGAAACTTGAATTCTGGTAAAATTGTTAAAAGATACAACTAAAAATATGGAATTAAGATAGAATATACAACAACAAAAACTTGAATTCAGGAATGTGTTCTAAATAATTTAGAAATGATTAAAAGATTTTTTTAATTCGATAATCTGACACCCCCCCCCCCTTCACTCTAAACCCCCCTCCCTCTCCCTTGAGGGAGGGGAGGGTTAGGTTGAAAGAAATTGTTTTCTATAGTTTAATTATATATCTTTTTGTTATTATTGAAATAATAATTATTATAATTAATTATTTTTTTAAAATCTACAAATTGTACAACCCCCCTTTTAAACAATAGGGTTGGAGTCGTTCTTGACTAAGAACGGAACGTCCTAATTAAGAATGAAATGGGAATGAAACCGTTCTTCGACTAAGAACACCAAAAGAACGGAATGGAACAGGATGAATTGTTCTTCGACTAGGAACAACAAGAACGGAACGAAATGGAACGAGAACAACGATTGAAAAAAAGAACGGAGACCTTCGCTCATGAATGGAACTGAACAATTTCAAAAAAGTCATAACGTGCCTATCCCTATTCACAACCTATTTCGCTCTCTCTCATACAGGGTGTCCCACATCATATTAGACCGTCAACGGGTCTAAATTGCGATTTTCGGGACTAATAAGAAAATTTAATTAGAATAAATCAATTTGAAAAATAACATAAGGCTTATATAAGAATTTTCTTGCGGAAAATGATAAGTTCTTCGAGTATTAAGGGTTTATTTTGTCGTTAAAGATTAGAGATAATCTAATATGATATGGGACGCTCTGTAGTATACTGACCTGTACAACACGCTTTACAGATTAAACTAAAGTAAAGTTTATTTAAAGTTGAAATCTTGAACATTTTTAACCATACCTCCTCTTGTAAAAAGAGCTATTTAGCTGAACAAAAAAGTTTTGAATTTAAAATATGTCAGTGGATAAGTTTGCTGTTTTCATACAAAGGAGCTACAATGTCACAAAGTTGTATTTCCGTTTTGTCTAGTTTAAAGTGTTCTTTCTATTCTAAACTCTATACTCTCAGTTGTAGACATTTTACAACTTTTACAATTATTGCATTAAATGAAGACAATAAGGGAGGTTTAATTTCTTCTTTTAAACCCAAATTGCAATAAAATAATCCATTTTTAAAGTTTTATCTTAAATTAAATCATCACGAAGTTAAACTCTATATATACAGTAAAGCTTAGCGAAAAGATCAGGAACCAAAAAAAGTCTAAAACTATCAAGAATATAGATAAAGCTTAAAACTTTTGAAAAATAATTAATTTAGGGTTACGCAAACACTGTATCATTTAGCAGAAAATCAAGATTAATTGAAAGTAAATTATGCGAAAATGCAGAGTTTATCTGGGTTTGAATATCTAACTCGTCGATTTCGATGAGTTAAATATTTAAGTATAGCTCATAGCTAAGTTTTAATACAAGTCTATCAAGAGCGGCATTTAAGCCAAACTTAATATTTAATTTGTAACTTTTCATTCTTTAGATTTGGACTCTGTATTAAGAAAATTTCATAATAACAACATTTTCAAACTTTTAACTGTTTAAAATCCCTAGCGACGGTTTTTTATAGAAATAAGGTAAAAAGTTTCATTTTAATCTATTTAGCTGATCTTGGAAACCAAGTTGAGTATTTACCGTCATATGCTTTGCTGTGATATTATCCAGCTGATCTTGGAAACCAAGTTGAGTATTTACCTTTATATGCTTTGCTGTGATATTATCCAGCTGATCTTGGAAACCATGTTGGAAATTTTCAAACTGTTTCCCTCGGTCCTTTCTCTCCTTGTCCAATAGGTTTAGCATTTCCTAGATTTTATGCTTTTTAAAGGAACTGCAGGTGTTACTTTAAGTAATCCTACATGTTTATATTTGTTTGAGGGAATATTATTAGGTGCAAAAAAGTTTTTGCCCGGATTTTTATTTTTTCTAGTTTGTTTCAGATCAAAATGAAAGTATTTTTACACCGAACGTAGAAACAAAGTAGTAAAATTAAAAATCACAGCAAAAAAATTTTCGCACGCATGATACCCATTTCAATAGCATATATAGTTTATCGATTTTACTCAAATCATTTAAAAGCAGGTCGATAAAGTTTTTTAATCACCCTGGTGTAGGGTGATTAAGTAACTTTATCACCCTACAATGAGAAAAATTAGGTATAAAATTTGAAATTTTAATAGCAGGGTGAAAAAGTTTCTTTTTCGCCCTGCTGTAGGGCGATAAAGTCACTTAATCACCCTTGAACGGGAAATATTAGGTGTGATAAATTCCATCAAAATTGAATAAATGACATAAATATTCTTGTTTATTCCTTCTTTGATAATTTGAAATTTCTCCTTCTCAGCGGCTTTAGGATTTTTGCTTAGAATACAATCTGAATAAAATTGACAGAATTCAACAAACGTTTAAGACGAAAACCGAATTCCACCTTATGGCTCAATTAAGGGGTGATACTGATGAAAGGGTACCGCGGTAAATTAATTATGCCCCTCCTCGGAAAAGAAGGACAGTTGAAAATTTAAATTACAAACTATTCGATATAAAATTAAATTAAAATAGTTAAAACTATTTAATATCTATATATAATAAAACAATTTTTTGTGGACACTCATGGGTGGCAGGGGGTGTTATAGGCTAAAAAAAA